TTAACATGTCAATGTGAATATTCACATTGTCAACGAGCCGGGCCGGGCCTGCCCTGGGCAGCAGGCGGGCTTCGGGCCGCCCACAGGCCACGAGCCAATTTTACACTCCTATCAATGTGAATGTTAATATGTCAATGTGAATATTCACATTGTCAACGGGCCGGACCGGGCCCGCCTCGGGCAGCCCATGGGCCGCGGGCGAGTTTCGCGCCGCCACGAGATGGGGGCCAATTTTACACTCCTATTAATGTGAATGTTAACATGTCAATGTGAATATTCACATTGTCAACGGGCCGAGCCGGGCCTAGTCGGGCCCGCCCTAGGCTACTGTCTAGTTTTATACTCTTATCAATGTGAATGTTAACATGTCAATGTGAACATTCACATTATCAACAGGCCGGGTCGGGCCCGCCCACGGGCCGTGGGCGGGTTTCGGGCAGCTACGAGGCGCGGGCTAATTTTACACTCCTATCAATGTGAATGTTAACATGTTAATGTGAATATTCACATTGTCAACGGACCGGGCTGGGTCCGCCCCGGACTGGGGGCGGGCTTTTGGCCGCCCATGGGCCGCGACCCAATTTTATACTCTTACCAATGTGAATGTTAACATGTCAATGTGAATATTCACATTGTCAACGGGCCGGACCGGGCCCGCCCCGGGCCGCGGGCAGGTTTCGCGCCGCCACGGGACTGGGCCAATTTTACACTCCTATTAATGTGAATTTTAACATGTCAATGTGAATATTCACATTGTCAACGGGCCGGGCCCGCCCTGGCTCGCGGGCATTTTTCAGGCCGCCCACGGGCCAATTTACATTCCTACAAATGTGAATTTTAAAATATGAATGTCCACATCATTAAATTGCTAATCGTTGAAGAAATATTTATAAGGGTATCAAAATTAAATATAAAGGCATAAGTGTCCAAGAAAATAGTATAAATCAAGAAAATGGACTTTATGGAATAAAACTATACATACATGGGACTAAATGGGTTAAAAATTTCCTTCATGGACTTCTTGAGTTAAAACACTTCTAAATTGGACTTATCAATAAAAATCCCTTAATAAAACCAAATGAGGCTAAAAATATCCAAACACAAAAAAAAATTAACTATACTAACCAATGCCAAACAACTAACCAACTTCCTAAAACAACCCAAAAGTGTGCTACGGTTGTGTTGAAGTTGTCCCTGCCTGATGTTTTGTTATTTATAGTGTTGTCTAGGAAATTATGTTAGCTTGTTTCGGTAATTTAGTTAAAAGTGGTTTTTGTAATTTTTGTAATTTTTAAATTCATATTTTATTTATTTATATATATATATATATATTTTAAAAATTAAATAAAAATAAATAAATAAATCTACTTTCGAAACAATGTTTGTTTTGTCTTATTTTGAATCTTTTGTTTATTTGCTTCTTATTGGCTTGAGTTAGCACAAGATTATGTGTATCTCTTTATTCCAATATAGGCGCTGTTTGGGAAGGAGATTTTTTTATTTTTTTTTCCACTAAAAGACAAATTGCTTACAAAATTAAAAAAAAAAACAAATCCAAACAAAATATCACATCAAACCCCATAATAATTTCATTTTTTCTTTTCATAAACATCACATCCAACCACAAAAAAACCTAACTGTGAGGATATATTTTCTGAGTACCAACACGTGGCAAGGTGACACCGACGTTTCAGCCGAGGTGCCACGTGTCTTGGTTGTGACGCCGAGGTGATCTCGGCAAGGCTGAGGTTATCTCCGAAGAAATTGGAATCCGAGATAAGTGGATAAGGGACAAGAGTCCTAGAATGAAAAGGGAACTCAACCTGGATATAGACAAGAGTCCTAGATTGGGAGAAGACTTCAGTTTGGGTAAAGATGAGACTCTTAGAGAGTTTATCCTAATCCCACTGGGAGTCCCAGATTAGCAGTAATCCTGAGTCCATAGAAGTTAGGCTTCTATTGAGACTAGGTTTATGTTGGCTATAAAAGAGAGGCACCCCCATGGGTCTAAGGGATGCTTTTGATATTCAAGTTTGTGAGTTTCGTACTTGATTATCTTTGAGAGATATACTGACTTGATCGTCGGAGTGCTCCCGGGTGGTTAAACCACCGCGGGATTCTTATATTTCTGTTGGAGGTCAGTCAGGTGCCATCTATTCTGCCGGTACTCTCCAGCTGGTTACTAAGCGAGTAGTGTGGTCAGAAAATCACCCACACATTAACTATCTTCCCAAACACAATTTTTTTTTTCTCCAATAATATCCTACAACTAAAAAAAACCTACAAAAAAACTCACTTCCCAAACATTCACATAGTTAGGATTTTGAAAATATACTATGATATATTTTTGTTCATACCTTGCTTTTATTTTCATATATAATATATATTTGTTATTAATAAAATTTTCTCTTTTGCCAATAAAAAATTAAAAAAAATATTCATCAAATCAAAATCCTATAAATCAAATGATGCGTCCCATAAATCAAAATCATAGCTCCATCACTAAACCACCATCGCAAATTGGACGTCAGTCACCATGGCCACTCTCCATCTCCATCGTCGATTATTATTGTTGAATTTTGATTGGCATTTTTTTTGGGTTCGGAGGGGGGGAGGAGTTTTGATTGTTGATCGGTAAGTATGTTATTCATAAGACTTATTGGTACACAAAAAAAACAAATTCAAACTAGCCTTGTTTTGAAAAATTGGTTAAAAGATTATTTGACTTTTTAAAAAAAAACGTGTAAAAAAAATAAAGAGGTAACGTAACCAAAAATAAGTTAAAAACTAATTAGCTTTTAGCCAAGTTCACAACATAAGTAGATAAAGAGATATTTATAAATAAATGCCCCTATTTTTTATTGTTAACATTATTAATTTATTGACACATTTTTCCTAATATAATATATTGGATTATAAAATTTGATCAATTTCAACTTAAAAAAATTATATCTCCAAAAAAAATTGCGATTAGTATAGTCAAATAATATTCTATAAATAATTTATATCTAGTAATGATCCATTACTTTCAAATAATTCACCAATTCAATTTTTTTTTTAATTCTATAAATCTTTATTTTTAAACTATTAATACTATAATATATTGTTTGGTTTACTGAAATAAAATTGAATTGTATCAAATAGTTATTCCTTAGTATTTTTATATAATGGCGAATGATAATTTCATTTATAATATTTTTTAACAAATCAACCGTGAAGATGAA